ACCGGTCGACTCGGCAACGGCTCGGCGCTGGATCTGGGCGGCCTCGGGCTGTCGTTTGGCGGCGGCGGCGATCTGCTGTCGGGCGCCGGCATGGGCGATAGCAGCTACATGGGCGGCTCGCGCAATCTGAGCGTCATCGGCGGCACCAACGGCACCGTGGGCGGCGTCAAGGCTTCGTCCAAGAAGAAGAGCGGCTCCAAAGCGGCCGCAGCGGCAGCGGCTGCAGCTGCCTCTGCGGCGGCTGCACGCGAAGCGTCTGCGACAGGAGCGGACGACGACGACTCGAACAGCCGGGTTGCTGCTGCTGCTGCTGCGGCTGCTGCAGCCGCTGCCGCCGCCGCCGCTGCAGCCGTGGTGACGACGTCCGGTGGCAGGCTCAGGTGGGACGCGGGCAAGTCGCTCAACCAGCTCACATCGGCCAAGGACTTTGAGATCGAGTCGGACCTCATCAACATCCGCAAGACCAACGGCAAGCGTGCACGTCGCAAGTAGGCGGCGCGCACACTGTCACACTGCACCGGGCATCGTAGCTGTTTGCGAGACGGTTGGGAATGCCATGCGTGATTTGCTATTGACTAGGATGGGGTGTGTGCGGACGAAGCGGGCCTGGCCCAGAGACCATGAGGCTGGAGGTGGTTGATCTAAGCGATCGGGATCGATGATCGGGGGACAAGCGGAGTGTGCGGAAGTTGGAGAGAATTGACCGGTGCTCAACCTAAAGCCGGCGAAGGCCCTAAAAGCCCTTTCTCCCACCACCACCCCCACCTGCAGCGACCCTGCTGCAAATTGCTGCAACTTTGCCGCTCAAAGTGGGGGCGAAACGAAAAATTGGATGAGCGAAATTTGGGAACGGGGGGTTCGGTTGGTTAAGCCGAAAAAAGCCAGCGGCTCTACAGCGCGGATGAACGACATCCGTTGGGAGCTCTTTGCACGACTTTGCCGAACATGCCGATAAACGGTGCTTTGTCCGCTGCTGGGTAGGAAACGCAAAAAAAAAGTCACATGGTTAGCCGCACCGCATGCTCAGACTCTGGTCGGTGCTCATCCGGCGGGATCAGTGCTGTGATTGATGTGATTGCTGTGCGGTACTTCCGACGTTGTGGCAAGACGCCTGCTCGTGTGCCGTGCGGATCGAATTGACCGCGCATTTCACCGCGCGCTGACAAAAGCCGTCGGCGCCGCCAATGTGACGTCTGACGGCTCATCGCTGTGGCTTGGCTGAGGCATGGGTGTGGCTGTCGTGGTGTGCCGCCTGGACCTGTCGAGCTGTCTATCGCCGCCAGAAGCCGTTGTTGGCTCCTCTCCGCCATCCCATCCTCCTTTCCGCCTTCACACACGCCAGACAGCATGTGACTCGCGCCCTGGCAACTCACTTCCTGCGACTCGTCGAATCAGTGAGCACACCGACTATATACACACACTGGCGCCTTGTCGTCATCATTCAGCATCGCATGCATCCACCGCATTCCTGCATCTCATCCAAGTCTCAAGCCGCCGGTCCAGCTCGAGTCCGGTAGCTCAGTCCAGTCCATCGACATGGTCCAGTCAACCACACCGCCGGCATCGTCGCCTCCCACACCCATGCCAACGTCGAGCTCACCGCCAATACCACCCGCGCACGCCTCCTCCACCCACTCCCTAGAGCGCACCGCCTCGCACGATGATCACCTGCACGACGACGACACCACCGCCGCCCCCACTCCGGAGAGCGCCACAGAACACCGCGTCAAGGTGGCGCTGCAGGACCAGACCAACTTCCTGCCCAGGAACCAGGTTATCCTCGTCTTTGCCGGTCTCTCGGCCGCGCTGCTCGTCGCGCTCCTGGACCAGTCCATCATCAGCACCGCGCTAGGCACCATCACCGCCTCCTTTCACGCCGGCAACGAGAGCTCCTGGCTCTCCACATCCTACCTCCTCACCTCCACCGCCTCCAGCCCGCTCTACGGCAGGTTCAGCGACATCTTTGGCCGCAAGGCGTGCATCATCTTTGCGCTCACCGGCTTCCTCATCGGCAGCGCGCTCTGCGCAGCCGCACAGTCCATCACACAGCTCATCGTCTTCCGCGCCTTCGCTGGCGCCTTCGGCGGCGGCATCGTCTCGCTCGTCATGGTCGTCGTCGGCGACGTAGTCTCGCTCCGCGAGCGCGGCACCTACCAAGGCCTGCTCGGCGTCGTCGTCGCGCTCTCCAACTCGGGAGGCCCGCTCATCGGAGGCGCGCTCGCCTCGGTCGGTTGGAGGTGGTGCTTCATCCTCGCCGTGCCCATCGCGCTCATCGCGCTCGTCAGCGTCATCCTCCTCCTCCCGCTCAAAAAGGTCGACGGTTCCGTAAAGAGCAAGCTCGCCAAGGTCGACTACCTCGGCACCGCGCTCGTGCTCGCCGCCACCGTGCTGCTGCTCCTCGGCCTCAACTGGGGCGGCCAGCAGTACGCGTGGTCCAGCCCGCACGTGCTCGTCACGCTCATCCTCGGCGCGGTCATCTTTGTCGTGTTTGGCTTGGTCGAGGCGTACGTGGCGCCGCTGCCGCTCGTGCCCATGCGCCTGTTTGCCATCGGCACCGTGTCGAGCGTGCTCGTCCAGACGCTCTGCTCCGGCGGCATCTTCTTCCTGCTGCTCTTCTTTGTGCCCCAGTTCACCCAGGTCGTCAAGGGATACTCGGGCGTCAAGGCGGGCGTGACACTCATCCCGCTCATGGCGGTGCAGGCGGTCATGTCGACCGTGGCGGGCATTGTGGTGTCCAAAACGGGCCGGTACAAGGCGATCATTGTGGTGGGGTTTGCGATCTTCAGCGTGGGCGTGGGGCTGCTGTCGCTGCTGGACGAGCACTCGAACATCGGCGAAGTGATTGGCTTTCTCATGCTGGCAGGGTTCGGGGCGGGGGGAACGTTGCAGGTGACGCTGGTGGCGGCGCAGAATGCGGTGCACCGGCGCGATCTGGCGGTGGTCACGTCGACGCGCAACTTTATGCGGCTCTTTGGCGGTACGCTGTGTTTGGCGATCAGCTATACGATCCTCAACAACAGTGTGCGGAGCGGCGCGCGCGGGGTGCCGGCGGATGTGGTGGCGGCGGCGGTGCGCAATCCGAAGCTGATCACGTCGGGCGAGTGGGATGCGGGCGTGTCGGAGCAGCTGCTGCGCGCCTACGTGCTGGCTTTCCGCAACGTGTTTCGCTTCGGGCTGGGGCTGACGCTGCTGGCGTTTGTCGTGACGCTGCTGTTTACCAAAGAGTTCAGTCTGGACCGTGGCGACGACGAGCGCAGGAAGGAGGAGGGCAAGCAGTGGTATAGGGAGAAGAAGGAGCGGAGGCAGGCAAGGAAGGATCAGAGCGCGCCGCATAGTACGCGCCACTCGCACGAGTCGCACGCGCGCCAAGGCGAGCGCGATGTCGATGTCGAGAAGGGTGCCGCCACTCGCACAGCGTAGATGCTAGGACGTGATGGCAATTGTTATTGTATTTCTATAGGTACTTGGCAGAGCGTGTGTGTGAGATGGTGGCGCTTTTGTGGGTGAGGGGGTTAGGGGGGTTAGGGGAAGTATGAATTGGTCGGGGCACGTGGGAGGTGGCGGTGGGGATTTGAAATTCCATCCGGCGGCTTTGTGGGTTTCATCTTTTACCCCACCACCACCACGATCATTCTACACGATGTTTACGGATCTCATTTTACTTGTGGTTCTTTTTGGGCTTATTGGAGGTATCCTCGTGTTTGTGACCTCTCTTTCGACGCCACCCACATCGACGCAGGTGGGCAAGTCGAGCATCGACTGGAACAAGGGCGAGGTGAAACTGCGCACCTCCATGCGTCCCGTCACCCAACAGGACCTCCTCGAACAAGCCGAGCAAAAAGGCCAGCAGGGCGGAATGTTCGTCTCGCAACATGCTCAGAGCTTCTCGTTCGGCAAAAAAGACTCCTAAACAACACCCCCCTCGAACCACACACGGAGCAACTCACATGGCACCCTCACCATCAATACCCAAGCTCCAATCTCGTATTGCACTTCGCCTTCATCACAGCGTCAAGACTAGGTAGCGGGTGTGGGATTGCCACCTAGGACGCGGGCGTGGATCGAGAACTGGCGGTACTCGATCGACGTGCCCCCGCCGCGCGCGCGCGCAGACTCGCAGCATCCACACTCGGACTCCTACTCGGCGGAAGCGTGTCGATGTCGTCCAGCGACATGTTGCGTGCAGCGTGCAGCGTGGTTCGACCTCGCCCACCTCGCCCACCTCGCCCACCACGAGCGCGGGCTCGACCGCGACCGCGTCCCCTCCCGCGCGCAGCCTTGCTCACAGGCTCAAGCTGCACCTCCCCCTTGCCACTTGACGCCGACGACGAGAGCGCATCTTCCTCGCGTGCCCCACGCTTCTTGCGCTTCTCCCGCCCCGCAGCCACCGCCTTGGCCCCACTGCTACCAGCTTCCACCGCCGCGCTGGGGCCCTCAAGCGCCTCGATGGCCGCATCGAGCTCGGCTGTGCGCGCCGCACTGGTCTGCTCCTCGTTCGCACTCGCACCCGCCTCGTCGCGCCGAACAACGGGCCGCTTCTTGGCCATCTCCTTGCCGAGCATCTCCTCGGCCACTGCGGGCGTCGCCAACCGCGCACCCACCACCTGCACATCGTCGTCGCTGCCGCTGCTCGTGTCCGCACTACCCCGGCGCGCAGTGCGGACGGGCGCGGCTTTCTTACCGTTGACGGCGCGAAAGCCGTTGATGACCTCCTGGAGTCGGTTGCTGCCATAGGTAATCTTTCTTCGGCCTGCATACACCCCTGTACCTGCCGAGGTGTCAAAGAAGCCGCCGCGGTCGAGCGTGGTCTGATTGCCGCGTGCGCGCGTGCGCGCGTTCTGGCGCTCGATGATCGGCAGCACGTACTGGTCCGTCTTGGACACGGGCCAGTGCAGGTACTCGCCCAAGAACGTGCGCAGGCTGTCGAGGTCCGGCAGGCCCCATGCGAATGGCTCGTCGCTCTCGTCCACCGTGGGCGCGTAGTACGCATCGAGCACGGCGGGTTCAGGCCACGAGGGTTCGAGATGCACCTTGTTGCGCAGGTTCTTTTTGATGCGTCGCATCGTCTTGCCGCGCGTGTGCTCGTGAGTGTCGGCGCCCGTCTGCACGCGCATCCACCACTCGCGGAACTTGAGCAGTCCATCCTCGCCGGGAAACAGCGCAAGCAGCTCCATCGCCACCACGGGGCCCACGCCCGCCAAACCCTCCGTATAGTCGCTCCCCAGGTAGTACGCCAGCCGCACCAGCTTCTCGCGGTCCAGGCCCAGCTCGCGCTGCATGTCCGAGAGCAGGAAGCACTCGACAATGCGGTTGTTGTTGAACATGTTCTTGTAGATCCGCGTGCCGCCGAACAGGAATACATCGCTATCGTCCGTAATGATCCCATCCACCAGCCGGCGCGAGACGAGCTCGGCACATTGAGCCTCGGCTTCCATGGGCGCCGTGATGTACGGCAGCCCAAACAGCCGCAGCATCATCTGGATCTCCTGCGCCATCTGCTTGGTGATGTCCTCCTCGGAGCGTCGGCTGTTGGCAAACTCGGCGCGCAGCGCGTTGACTTCGCTTTCTACTTGCTGCTGCACGTCCAGCAGACTGCGCCCCTTGGTGGCGCTCAGGAACGCTACGAACTCGGACTGGTCCGCACTGAGCCGCGCAATGTCGTCGTCCGATGCGGACAGTGCGTCCAGCTCCGCCGCCGTGGGCAGCGGGAATCCGTCGGCGCCAATCACCACCTCCTCGGGCTCAGGAGACGGCGTCGGCGACCACTCCACCGGCGTCGTCTGCCGTTCGTCCAGGTTGGTGGGACCATTGTCCTGCAAGACGGACTCGGTCTGTTCCGCCGCGGCGGCAGGGATGTTGTCCATCGCCACGTCGTCGGCCGCACCACCCGCGTCTGGGTGAGGTACTCCTTGCGCTACAGCACTCGCCTGTTCTGGAACTGACAGAGAGACTGGTACGCCCGTCTCTTCCACGTCCTCCAGACCAGCCGCTTCGCCTCTGCCTGCTGCATCCTCAGCGGCCGGGTTCGACTCCACATCGTCCGCCATGGGCAGCACAGTATCCACAGACGGCTGTTCTGGCTCCAGCTCGACCACCTCTGGTGCAGGCGGAGCATCAAGCGCACTCTTGTGAGGCTGCGGCTCGTCTCTAATCGTCGATGCGTGCTCTTCTGCCTCGTCTGAGCGAGCTTCGACAGCGATCTGGCGATTCACCTCTTCTGGAGTGGGCGGGAGCTCGTCGTGCCCCATCTCAACTGCCTCGGACGTTGCGTGTGCGGGACTGGCCTGCTCAACCAATTCTGGTCGAGGCGGAGTATCGACGCCCTCGCGGGGCTGAGGCTGCTCGCCGACCTCTTGCACGTCCGAGCGAGCTTCGATGGCGATTTGCCGATTCACCTCTTCCGGTGTCGGCGGG